CATCATGTCCTAATTTTGGAAGTTATTAGAGTTTACTATATGCACTAGGTCAGTCTTGGTCAAAAAGAGTACCTTAGCAAGACACCGATACACCTACCCATTCCATCCCCTATAAGTGAACGGTGGATCAAGCGGTACGTTGGTGATCTAGATCCAAGGCTTGTGCTCCCACCCTGACAGAGCCCATGTTCATTTATTCATTCGAAGCCGAATAGCCGTCTAGGATAACATGTGACAAGCACGAGACTTAGGCACACCAATGTATGCAATGCAATGAACATATAATTGAAAATAAAAATCATATCATGGAGTTTGATTCAAGGTTTCTTAATAGCTTCAGCAGAGTCGCCAAAAATTGTCGCATGCCCAGGGGGTACCCAAGTGCGCTAAACAGTTCGAACCCTAGATTTCTTTGATCTAGTCTCACAAGTGTAATGTGAAACATAGATAATAGTTCGGATCTAACAACTTTCGTAGAAAATCTATTTTATTGCAAAACCTTTGCTAGAAATGGATTATATTACCAGATCTCAAAGTCACCACCTAATATTTTAGGAAAATTAGGAAATCCATGATTAATGCTAAGGCCATTGTTCGTTGTAACCAAAGATGTCTCGGTTCAGGCGCTTAGGTATGATAAGGGAAAGTCATTAATTGAGCACTCCCGCTCACCCGATCAAAAGATCGACCTCTACTAAACCATGATATGAGTTTTATTTACTTTATATGTTTATATTCTGATTTATTTAATAAATTCTAAAATTTATTGTATAAAACAAACAAATATAGATTATGTCATTTATTTTGAAACAATTTATTTTTTTTGCATTTTGAAAGAGTTTTGAAGATGTACGAAATTGAGTTTACAAACATGAAAATCAACATCATTCCAAATTAAGTGACACAACCTCCATCCACCTGCATTCATAGAATTACATCAAATAAGAAAATAGTCTCATGGTAGAATGCTAAACATAGTAAGGAGAACACACACAAGCGGGATGCAAAGCATAAAAACTTATGTATTTATCGATATCCCGCGAACAGTTACAAAATAAAGTTAATAAAATATACATGATCTCATATGCAAAATCCTATTGCAATTCACTCATGAAATGCAACTAAAGATTCAACTTCTAAAATATGACATGTGAGTCATCTCAAGAACATGAGGTAGCACATATAATTACATAAGAATTGATTAAATCCATATATGCAAATTTAGCCGAATCAAGATGCATGAAACATGGATGCAAAGCATGAATATGATGAAAAGCCAAAATATGATGCATATTTACAAATAAAAAAAGCGAGTAAAAGAATGGAATAAAGAGAAGCGGGTGAGAAATTATTACAACACTTGAATAATTGCATATATGAATAAGAGAGAAGATGAAGGAAATATTACAACAAAATTAAACCTCACAAATCTCTCAAATTAAAAGACAAAATCTGAATATGCCTCGAAGATCACCAACAGGAAATTGCCTTGTTTACTGATGAGGAATTGTTCTATTTTGTGTTTGGAAAGTCATTTGGAAATTCCTTTGGATGAAGTGATGAATTTTTTTATTACAAACTCTTTTCCTAACTCGCCCAGGTTATGAAATATGTTTTTGAAGTCTCAGCAAGAAAATTGAAATTTTTGGTTTTAATGTTGTTTTTGGTGTTTGGAGTGGTATATCAGTGAAGAAATGTGAGGTAAAAGGTCATAGCTCTAAGGTTCAGAGATGAAAGTTCTCAAATTCAGATGTTATGCTCTCTCAAACACTCTTGTTGAAAACAAATTTTGCTACTTTTTCATCAAAACAAATCCTCTCTTTAATACGTAGTGGAGGGTCTTCTTTATAGAATCCAAGGTGCTTTTAATATCTAAACCCCCTTCTTTTTTTAACTACCAAAAGTCTTCACATAAGAAAAGAAGAAAAGTGTAGTTATTGTGTTGGGCCCCTCCCCTTTTTCCCTCCTCCACTACTTATAGAAAAAAATAATAATCTCTACTTCCCTTTTGAAAACCAAACCCTCTCAGATTCCTTATAACAAAATCCCTTTCTCTCTCTCTAGACTTTCGAAACCAAAATCTCTCTCTCTTTTGACTTTTGCAATAAAAAACCCTTAATAATAATTAAAAATAAAAACAAGGAGAGAAAACATGGTAATAAAGACAAGGCTGAAAGATGGTGTCAGTAACTTCTTTTGAAAAAAGAAAAAAAAAATTCAAATGGGTCCAAAATTATTTGATCAAAATGAGTGAAAGTTAAGATTAAAACTTGAACTCGATTTTTCTATTGAGAATTTCGTAAAATAACATATTCCAATTTTGATCATCTGGTGTTCGAAAAAAAACACTCAAGTCAGGCCAATCAAAATAGGGCTTCTACAGTGGGTTTAACTCGAACATGACATGTTTATTATACGGGTTCACGGGTTGTGTCATATTCGAGTTCATGTCATAAAATGCTCAATCTTGACCTGTTAATTTTGTGTATAGTTCGAGTTGTGTTATCATGTCGTGTCAAAATTCTCACCCTTGCTGTCAATATTAACATTAATGCGCTCTTCACCCTATTATTATTAGCGATATTTTGCTAGCTATGTTAGAGCATCTCCAATGGTTTGCCATTGCAGCTGCTATTGCCAAATTATGGCAGCAGTTCATAGAAATCCATCTCTAATGGTAAGTTTTGGTAGTTGCTATCTTTGGCAAATGCTAAAACTTGTGTCAAATATGGCACAAGCTTTGCCAACTGCCAAAGTTGCCAAGTCAGCTTCAACCAACCGTTTCCTCCATCATTCCATTTTTCATCATCCAACATAAACATAGAAGCAAAAATTCACTAAAAAACAACCAAAAAATAAAAATATAAGCAAAATTTCAAAAGTAAACACAGATTGAGCAATTTCAATTTCAAGCAAAGTTTCAACACAATTTCAGCTTCAATAATTTCAAGCAAAAATAAAATAAAATAAATTGGACAACTATTTCAGAATTAAAAAAAAAATAATACCTGACACAGAGGGTTGATCTTTTCGTGTTCTTTGGATGGTCTTCAATAGGGTTTCGGGTTTGGATCATCACTGACAGAGGGATCGTTGGAGAAGAGGCCGTCATTATGGTGTTGGGTTTGGATCATCACTAACAGAGATGGATCATCGGAATCAAGGATTAGAACATAGGGAGAGATAGATCGAAGAAAGAAATAGAGGATCATTTTGGTTAGGGTTAGGGTTTTGATCGATGGAGATCGATAGTTTAGAACGGATGGAGAGAGAGAGAGAGAGAGAAAGAGAGATATCGAAGATGAAGAAGAAAATGAGAAGAATGTTGGGGTTTGAGGGTTGGAGATTGGTGGTGGAGATGAGAGAAGGGGGATTGGAGAAGAGAGAATGAGCGTTAGAGATCGGAATAAGGGACTGAGGGAAAAGATGATTGGAGAATAGAGAAAGGGGGTTTGGGGTGATAAAGAAGAAGATGAGCCATTTGAGAGATAATGAGAGATAGAGAGCTGGGTAGAGAGAAATAGCAAAGGTGGGAGTAGATTCTGGAATCAAGAGAGAAGTGATAAAGAGAGATAGAGAGAATAGAGAGAGAGAGATATTTTGCTTCAATCTAGATCGTTGGATTGTTTAATCCAATGATGCTCTTTTGTCCTTGGAATATACAAATTAAAAAGATAAAATAAAAACATTCAGTGTCATTTGAAATATATATTTTTTAATTTTTATATTTATCTAGTTGAGAATAATATAAATATATAATTCTTTTTAGAAATAGTTAAAAAAGGGTCACAAAAGACAAAAAATAAACAAAAAAAAAATCACTGAAAAACCTACATCCAAACAATACGTACAAACTTTGAGGAAAAGTTGGTTGAGATTTGCCGAAATAGCAAGTGAACCATTGGAGTACCATTGCTATAATTTTGCAAAATAGCACTATTCATTGCCAAATTATAGCAATGGCAATGGCAATGCTATTTTAACAAATATCATTGGAGATGCTCTTAGTGGCATGATCTATTAGAATATAAGAAAATAATTTAGATTAAGTGAAACATAAGTAGATAAGAAAATGATTTATGAATAAATGCATCTTTAATTTTATGTCACTCTCAACTTTAGGTCTCATTTAAGAAGTTAAAATTTTAGTCAAAAACTACTAGAGAATGAAAATTTTAAAAATTTAAACTTATACAAAAAAGTTAAAAATTATTTTTCATTCATTATGGCCTTGTTTGGTTTGTATTTTGAGATATTATTTGAAAAATAATTTTAGGGACAGAGTTTAGAAAATTTAAAAATTTGTTTGGTTGTATATTTTGAAAATAGTTTTGGAGTTTTAGATGATTTTATTTTATTTTATTTTTTATTTTTTTGTGTAGTTGATTGTGAAAGAAAGATAAGAGAGAAAAAGTAATTGATTGATATGTAATAGAGAGAAAAATGATTTTTTTATTGTTTTATTATTTTCAACCAAACATGTTTTTAGAATTTTTTCTCTCAAAACATATTTTGAGAAACAAACCAAACATGTCATATATTTTTTTCACGTATTTTTGTAAAAGTTCATTTTTTTTCCATATTTTTCTTAACCTCACATTTTAATTAAAAAAAATAAAAGATCACTAAAATAAACACTTTCCAAACAATGTTTAGATCCTCTAAAGTGATCTTAGAAGAACATCGCGTTATGAAGGGTTGAGATTACCTACACCAAAACGACATTATTTTGATGAAAAGAAAAAGGAAAAAATAAAAAAAAGATATGAAAAAAGTAGTCCTTCATCACCAGTGCCATCATAGTTTCTCTAGCCACCCATCGCTATTGCTATCACCGTCCACTGGTAACAAACCAATCGACATCATCCTAATTTTGCTCAAACACTTCACCTAAATCATTACAATTGGGACTCCTAATTTTACTCTAAAGGACTGAAGTTATTTAGAATGATTTAAATATGTATATTTTTTTGTCTTCTTATGAAAATATGAGAAAAAAATAAAAAAATAATGTGAGCTAAATAAATACACTTATGTAAATAAATGCACTTATATTCATCATATCAATCAAACAAAATAGTGAACTACTACCACCATCATATATCAACCATCCAACGGACGAGGACCACCCATCATCAAGAAACAATACACTGAGCCACATTGGATCAAACCACCTCCCACACTCTCTGCACGACCGCCGCCACCACTGCAAGCAGCACACTGCATTACCCCTCCCAGTTCACTTAGCCCCGGCATTGCTCCCTCTACCCTAGCAACACCATCCCTTCATCACTCCTTTTCCCTATCCCTCCATCTTCCCATTCCTTGTGTTAGGGTTTGAGGTATTCAGTCTCAAATGGCACCATCTGCAGCTTCCGATTCTCCTACAACACCCGACAATGCAGAACGTAATCTCCAGGTACTTTCATCGCTACCTATATTCAATTTCACCAGTAACATTCTTTATGCTATGCTAAATAGACAACAACGACAATAAAACTCAGTTTGATTCCCGAGAAAATCATACCAGCTGAAAGAAAAATTAACAAAAAAGAAAAAAAGATTTCTTTCATATTGTTTGAGGTTCTTTTCTGTCACAGCCTTTCTTCGTTCTTCACAAAGCGTCACTTCGTAGTTCCGATAGAAAATCGGCAGGAAAAACCAGTACCAAGGCCAGAACCAGAAGAAGAATAGATTTAACCCCGACTTCTGAGCAATCCGAGGCTGCCTTTGCAGGAGAACACTATGATGATCATTTGCGAACTGAGACTTTCAATCGCATTTGGTCCAAAATTGAGTCCACCATCAAGGTTCGTCCTAAACTGCTTTTCTTATCTAAATTTAGGAAAATTAGTTGTGAGTGTTAGTTATGAAATGTTGGTTCTAACACATTATTTTGGTTATGATAATGTTTGGTTATGACTCATTAATTTTTTGTAATTATGATACAACTGAAAATGATTTAGTTATGAGGGTGTGTACACTAGCATGACCCCGAAATTTATTTCTCCTTTTTTGTTGGTTCCCGATTATTTGTAATAACAGAAGCGTTGTAAACTAAGTGGCTAGGGGGAGTGAAGAATTCAGCTCATATTTGTCATTTCCATAAGGCTGTCATCAAAATTTTAAAGGAACAAGTTTTTATATTTGTAATTTCAGGATGTTTTGAGGAATATCAATGCTGCCGTATTCAATGATATATGTTGTTGGGTTCAAGAGTCATTCCATGCAATTCGTTCATGTGGAATGCCTGATAGAGCTAAAGCCACTCCTTCGTACCCCATTGTCATGGATCCTTTATCTAAGCAGCTTTGCACTGGCCTGGTCTTCACCAGTATGCTATTTTTATGTTTTATTGTTTGCTCTTTTATATACAGTTGCATATATGCTCGTAACTTTGAATTTTTTTTTCTTTCCTTTTTGTTTGCTTTGTTATTTGCCAAAAATAAAATTATTACCTGTTTGATGATTTTCAGAGAATATGGAATTTGTTGATGATCTATTGACATTTGAGGACCTTGGTCTACATTTGAGATCTCACGGGTGCCATGTGGCTAACCTTTCATCATTTGACTTCTCGGTTAAGAATGGAATTGCCGGTTGTCTCAGAGGTTTATTGAGACAGTTTCTAATGGTTGGCCTGGATGTAAGTAACACCAATAAATTTGTCCATCATTCAATCTGGTTATGTTGATGAAGTGCTTTTTGATACCTGTTTCCCATGTTTTCATGCAGGTGGCTGATATGTCTATCTTAGCATCATGGTACATTGAACAAGGGAACTACGATAACCCAATGGTTGTGATTATTGATGATATGGAGAGGTGCTGTGGGTCTGTCTTGACTGACTTCATCCTCATGTTGAGGTCTTGTCGCTTGCCTTACCTCCCAAGTGACCATTAGTTGGCTTCCAGCATATATCTGTTGCTCTATTAGTTATCCCACTTGAGTCCAACTTTCATTAAGTGTGTGATTTATTAAACTTGGAATTTGAGAACTAGAAGCAAGTCTACTAGATATGAAATAAAACCACAAATTCATCAAGCAAGTGCCTGCCATAATACAATATTGAATGTGATGGATTAAAGAGTGAGTTGCGTGCTGGTAGGTAATATGTGACAGGCTTATGACTTGAGTGTCTCTCTTTAAGTAATAGTGTTTTACTGCACATGACATCAGCTGCAGAATTTCAACAGCAACTTTAGCCTCAAATTCATGCATGCATAATGTCTCACAGTACTTAGGACCCTGACGTAGCTCTCAAATATCCTTGACCAATGTATTTGTCCTTATGCCCTTGACTGTAACAGGATAAGTATCGAGAGCTTCCTCAATCTGTCGTACGATGTTACAAATTAACAACAGATTTTATTGGCCTTTCTCGTGCCATGCCTTAACCTGTTCCCTACTTCAGCACTCATAAATTGGGAGAAAATGGTTTCAGGGGTATCTTTCAGGTTGTCATGTGTCAAAGACTCAAAAAAAAAAAAAATTCTTTTCTCCATGGGGGAGATCAGTTGTGTTTGAGTTACAAAGGATCTTAAAACCATTGACTATTAGTTAGTTTTATTAGATCCATGAAGCTAAGCAGATGACCCAATCTTTTTGTTAAATATATTTTTTTAACATGTATAATGAGTGTAGGATCATTTTACTATATTGTATGCGTTGCCATTTCTTCTTTTGAATGCTTACCCCTCTGATATTAACAGTGAATGGGTAGTTAAGATCCCAATCATCTTGATAATTGGGGTTGCGACAACTGTTGATGCCCTAAGAAGCATACTTCCTTCAAATGCTCTCAAGTACCTGTCCTCTCGTAAGTTTGTTTTGGGATCTCCAGCTGAGAGAATGGATGCAATCATTGAGGCTGTCCTTGTGAAACAATGTTCTGGGTTTAGTGTTGGCCACAAGGTGGCAATTTTTTTGAGAAATTATTTCATAAGACAGGATGGAACGCTGACCTCATTTGTCAGAGCTCTCAAGGTTTGTATTCAATTAAATGTGGATTTTATTGCTATCAGCTGTGTCTTGACAATGGTTGGCAGATCTTTTCATGTGCTTTTCAAATTATCTTTTTTAGAAATATGCTAATGTGATGCAATTACAACTGGTTTGCAGATAGCAATTGTCCAGCATATTTCCATGGAGCCTCTAAGCTTTATACTTGGTGGCTTATTTAATGAACATAGTCAGGTTGAATTTTCTTCTCCTCTGATAGGATCTTTAAATGTCTCCTGTTTCAAGTTGTGCTGTAGAAATCATCTTATATTTTGAAGCCATGACATGCTTCAAAATTTTATTTTTCTATTCTTCTTATGTTTTGGTTATTATGAATCACGTAATAGGGCATTTTGACACCACTGATGTGTCTCAAGCAACAGGAGAATCATCTAGATCTGATGGTTATGAACTCTTTTTGAAAAGAGATTGCAATATAAACCTTCGTATATATTTATTGTTTATCATGTTCATGATAAGTAGTAAGTACTATCACATACTATGAATTACATAATCAGCATTTTCAAATTTTTCATGCTCGAAAATTTTCAAGGTGCATACACTTGCCAATTTCATATTTGTATTTATATTTATATCAATAGAGATGTACATAAATAATTCGTGCTTGCCTTTTCGGAAACTTCTTAATTCTATTAATTATTTAAGCTTTAACACTTCAATGCTTCTTGACTGTCGCAGGATTTATTGAGTGAAGGATTGCCCAAAATGTTTTTTAAGCGGGCTTTTGATCTTCCGTCTTGCAGGAGGTACATAGAATATGTAATGAAAATATCAAATAAGTCGTACTTTTCTCATGAAATTTCTATCGAGTCCTATTAATATTATGTTAAGATTGAGAGGGTTGATTCATGTGTTAATAGAACTCAACAAAAATTTTATAGGAAAAGTAAGGACTTATTTGATGTTTTCCCTAATATTTATCAATTGCAACCATTGCTCTTTTTGTAAGTGATATAGATGCTACCTTTGAGAAGGATGAAATTCTGAATTTGGTTGCAAATCTGTCACAAGGAATGAACTGGCTGAACCAAATGGAGACATTTTGGTTCAGGGCTTGTCTGATTTGAAGAGATTGCAGAAGTTATGGAGTTCTGTACTTATGGTGAGGCCTTATCCCCAACATGATCTTCCTATTGTGATTGCTGCAAATGCATCGTTACAGTTGATTCAGTCGATAAGTGACAAATGTCAAAGTTGGCTTTTCAGTGACACAGTACTCTCAAAATCCGTTGTGAAGTTTATTAGTATGAATGTCGTTCTGTTTGCTATTGCATTCATAGCCTTTTTAAGCAATAAAAAGGAAAATAAGAAAATGTGTTTTTCAATTTTCTTTTAAAATTTTCCATATATAGCCAAAGTAGCTGCTGAAGTTGACAATTATTCTAGCTGAAGCTTTCATATTGGTGAAGTACTGGTGTATTCAGAAAGAGGCTAATGTCAATCCCTAATCCATCTTGTGGGCTTGTGTGTGGTTGGCTTCAAAAGTGTGATAAATCCATGCAATTAAAGATGATATTTTGACTAAGAAAGTGTTGCCAGATTTAGTGTGTTGGCAATTTTTACGGACAAAATGTGTGCTAGGTGTTTAGGTCAAGTTTATAAGTTTGAGCGTCCAAATTTTTAGGAATGAAGATGTTTGGAGACAATGGAATGGCGGCATTTGAGCTTCCTAGAGATTCAGAACATTGTGCTCGAAGCCCACTCAAAGTGTCCTTGAGCATAATGACATTGATTTTGCAGAATGCAGGTGTGCTTCAAGTGGAAGAGTGCTTGAGTGGCAAAATGAACTTTGGAATCCAACCCTTAGTTTAGGAAAACCTATAAATAAGGCAGCACACATTCAGTTCTAGATAAATTGATATTGCCTAAGAAGCCTAGCCTCTCTAGAGCCCTTGAAGACCTAAGAACCCTAGGCCTTCTTATTCAGACAAGTAGACTGGATTTGCTTTTGCATTGAAATTGATTTTCAAAGCGCTTCTTTGAGTGTTTCACACATCATACAACGCTTAAGTCACTCCTATTGCATTTGTTATTCCTACCTTTTGGCCAATTGTGATAGAGAGACATGGAACGGAGATATGGACAACAGAAGGCTGACGGGGCTGTCAGGGCCACTTGTGAGTGAAGTTTGAGCTTGTGAGTTCATGGGTGAAGATGTCATGCTTAGATATATCTAAGGGTGGGTTGTAAGTTATTTTCTTGTCTTTTTTTTTTTTTTTTTTTTTTTTTGAGCATTAATAAAAAGGCATGAAACATTGAGAGGATAAGGAGTCCTTGAACAATGGAAAGAAAACAAAGCAAAAACGACAAAACGAATTGAGAAACATCCAAAACTAAAAATGGCAAACAACAGCCCAATTCCTAGAAATCACAAAGAATGGAACTCCTTTAAACAGAGGAGATACAAAAGCCCAAAACGGAGCCAAATAACCCGCCTTATCCCACGGAGATGCCACATCTGACTGCCTATCATTAAAAACTCTAGCATTTCTTTCCACCCAAATGGTCCAAAAGATAGCAAAAACAAAGCAAGACCAGTGCTATTGGACAATGAAGGAATAAATGATCCACCTATTCTGCATTCCTCTTTCACATTATGCATCACTGAGGACCAAGGACACCTTATGCACCACTAGGTTTAGATATTATATATCTTTTTTATTCTCACCGGTAAGATTGCCCATGGCTTTTTCTTGGTGATTGTTGTTCCCAAGGGGTTTTTCACCTATATCATTTATGTTACTGTTTTCTTCATATAGAATTGGCGAACTTAATTGATTTATACATTGTTCAATTAATTATTAATTGGTATTTAATTACAGTTGTTTGGCATATTGAAACCCCGTTACAGGCACAAACTGTCTGCCTCCGCCCTTTTTCAGAAAGAACTAGATTGCTTTCAGAAGTAACTTTGGTTGGTTGGATTATTTTGACCAAGATGCACACATTTTGTTTAAATGTAATCTTTTTCATTGACAAACTGAATACTCGCAACTTAAACTTTGGCTGCCTTATAGCCTAAATCAATTGAAACTAGGATTAGATGTTATATATCTGCAAAGAACTGGCACCCTTCATTTTTTTGTTTTGAGACAGATTTTCAAGGTATTTTACTAAATTTGATTTGATCTCACTTGAATTATTTTCGCACTATAGGTGTATGATTGCTTTTCATCTTCTACCATGTCTGTTCAGGATGTCTTTGTATGACATATTACTGCTTCCTTATACAGTTATTAACTATTTGTTTTGCTCCTCTCAAATTTTCCAACCCTCCCACAATAAAAAAAAAATAAATCTAAAATGATGTTTTAATCCATTTGCACCATTGAAAATACAGAAAACCTATATTATCAGGAAAGTAGATCATTGTATGGAATGGGAATAGAAACATGGTATTCAACAGCATGTTACTTCATGATGTGGTGTGCTGAAGTTAGGTTGGAACCTTGTGAGGTTATGCCTGAATCTGAGTTTATACTATTTGCACTAAGCTATGGCCCCTTAGGTGTGAACAAAAATTGCACCATAAATCTTCTTATGATTTATTGGTATCAGTGATATTCGTCTGATCTTCATTTAATCCTTTGCTGCAAACTTATCACTTTGTTGCCATGTGTATATTTCTATTAATCTTATTTGTTAATGGGGGTGGTTGTCACCGCTGCATAGCCCTGCCATTGCTCCGGGAGGGCAGAGGGGCCTGATTGCTGAACCCTGGATATTTTTATGAAGGAATTAGAAACAACTCTTGCGCAACTGCTGTTATGAAACTTTTGAAAGATTGGTAGAAAATCATGATCAGATAAACACCTAAAACATGAAAGACATCCCCACAAATAAGACATGTAAGAGACTGTTAACTGTCCAAGTGGATGTGAGAGAGTATCCCCTCCTTTTAAAGGAGTCCCTTTGTTCTTGATCTTTACGGATTGGGCTGCTGTTTGCCATTCCTAGGGTTAGGAGTTTTGTGCTTTTGTTTTGCTCTCTCTTTCTTTTTCTTTGTATGAGGACTTCTTGTCCTCTTTCACTTTTCTTTTTTAATGAAATTTTGTTGACGCTAAAAAAAAAAGAGGATGTGAGAGAGTAGAGTGGATGGTGGAAAAACTCTCCGAATTTAAATCTCATGTCTTCTGAAGCTCTACCAATGTAACTTATTGAGGCATTCAAGGATTTACTTTGAGGCTTCCCATACTGGTTAGGCTTAGGGCTGCAAATGAACTGAGCTGTTCGTGAGCTCAGCTCAATTCGGCTCGTTAAGAGCTCGGTTCATTAAGTAAATAAACTCGAGCTAGACTTTTAGGCTCGTTTAATAAACAAGCCAAGCTCAAACTCGAATAAGCTTAGCTTGTAAAGTTTTGCTTGTTTATCTTTATTTAAATAATGCAGTATTTGTATAAATAATAGGATAATAATATATATATATATATATTATTTATAAACCAAACCGAACCAAACCTTAAGTCTCATCAAATGGGGTCGACTACATGAATCCTTCTTCTCCAGTTGACTCTATCAACGGCCATTTGGTTAGTCAAATTAAGGAGATTCATATCTCTATTTACTACACTAGCCCATGTCAATATAGGTCTGTCCCTTTTCCTAACACTTCCATCTACTGTCACTGTATTGCATCTCTTCACTACTACTTCTATTGGCCTCTGTTGTATATGACCAATATAAATATGTTATTTATATATTTAAATAAAGTAGTGTAGAGCTTCGAGCCAAGCTTGAGCTTTCTTAATATTAACAAGTTGAGCCGAACTTGAGGTGGATTAGTTATTGAGCCGAGCTCGAGTTAGACTTTCAAGCTCATTAAACAAATGAGCCAAGCTTGAGCTCTGCAAAGCTCAACTTGGCTGGGTTCGTTTACAGCCCTAGTTAGGCTTATTAGATGCCATTTTTTTCCTTATAAAACTTATTTTACTTGTTAGAAAGCTATGAAGCACTAGCAATCCAAAACAAGTGTCGTGGCAGTGTCGGACACAACGGGGACATCATTTGTGTTTGTGTCATCATCCGTGTCCGTGCTTCTTAGTAAGAGAGAAAAAGAAAAAAAGAAAAAAAAGATGTCATTTTGCGTTATTATTTATATAAAAAAAATGTCATTATGCATTACGAGTTCCCTGACTAACGGTTGAAACATTTTACAGGCCTTAATGCATAAGATTTCAAGACTCTTGTGGAATATTTATGAAAAAATGTGTATATTGGGATAGTTATTAAAAGGTCTGAAGAATACATTCTAGAGACTAGGATAATTTATTATATTCCCAAGCTAAGAAGCACGTACACAAATACGGATGCGGACACAGGACACGGCAATTTCAAAAAAATGGGGACACAACAATAAAATATATTTTCATATATTTTTATTTGCTATCTAGATTAATATTACATCTACAAACAATCAATATTAACAAAAACTAACTCTAATTCTATATATATATTTAAAAAAACAACACTTCTAAATTAATACTTGCAGTTTATATATTTTTTATGAATAATCTATTAAGTATTTAAATTTAAGAAAAGTAAAAAATAAAAATTCGACATTCAACATACATCAAAAGTACTAAATAAAATGGGGGAAAATATAACTTGGCATGTCCCTAGTGTGTTCTCGGCGTGTTCCCTGAAAATAAATTAATTAAGGGGACACGCTATGTGGTGTGTCCCATATGTGTCCCGCCGTGTCTGTATCTTCAAAGTGTCCATGTGTCTGACACGGATACAACACTTGTTTTGAAGTGTCGGTGCTTCATAGCTCCGACGTCTCTTTTTATTTTTTTTATTTTTTCCTTACAGTAGTGTAGGAGAAATAAACTCAAGGAGAAACCTAAGAGCTGTGAATGCTATTTAGGAGTTTTGGGGATTTTGTTCTCTCTCAATCTGGAATTAAAAAAAGTTTCCACAAAAAAATGTTGGAAAGTTTTAAATTATATGACAGGAGGGGCTCTTTAATGGGGCTCATCAATAATGGAGGTTGGAAGCTGGGGTATTCATCTTCTTTATATTCTGACAAATAAACTTCAGGAGATTTTATATTTATCTCTTAGTGGTCATCTTGAAAGAAGTGACTGCCATGTGCTCTTTGTGAGCATTTGAGTAGACATCTTTCAACAGGAAGAAAAATTGGATATATCAGTCCTTGTCAGTGTGTTTTCTTTATGTCTTTTACCAATTGTAGTCAGCGGTGACGCCAGTCATGAGTGGTGTCACTCAACTTACTGAAAGATGAATTTTTTTATATACTATATATAATTTACGCGCTTGGAAAAAAATTAATACACTTATAGTCACTGGAAAAGCAGTTTGAACCCTGTCAAAACTCTATAAGAATTACATTTGTTTGTTTTTTGTTATGATTTGATATATTGATTAATTGTGTATGTATTAGTATAAAATTATAAATTCTTTCGAAAATTGTTGTGATTTGTTCAAATTAAGGTTTGGATTAGATGGAATTGAAATTTGATGTCATTGTTTTTACCACATGCAAGTTGATTGTGTATCTACATCAAATTGACCATGTGTTTTTTAATTATTATTTAATTAGGTCTACCATTATTGATAAATTTCTAAAAATAAAAATCAATTGTATCTCAAGATTCATCTCCTACCCAAGAAACTTGTGGTGCTAGTCACAAATATTTTTTGTTTTTAAAGCTAACTTGTATTGACATGAACAATCTACGTGCTACAAAAGTTTATGTATATATTTACATGTATTTTTGTATAAACTTTTGTTAAAAGAACAATAACATAATTATATTATTATTTTTTATTTATGGTTTTAGATCTTTAAATTAGTTTGTCCATTTATTGGTTACAGATGATGGATATTGATAGTTGTGAAGTTTCTATAGGATTTGTAGAATTTAAGGGATGTTTGGTATCGTTTTCATTTTTTGTTCAGGAAATAGAAAAATGGAACTTGACACATAAAACTAGTTTGACAAACCATATTCAGGAAATTTCTGAAAATACTCTTTTTTAGGTAATACTTTGAAGTTACTTTTTGAATTTTCAAAAATTGTTTTTGACAAAAATGAAAACAATACTCGTTTTCAAACTATTGTTTTTGTTTTTGAAAACACGAAAAATGAAAACAATACCAAAAAGGTTTTGAATGTTACTAACCACTAGCAAAAATTTTTGGAGTGGAACTTGAGTGCTGTAACTTTGTTTACTACAATGTATGTTATATTTAATGTCTTCATTTTTTTTTCACAGTTTTGGTTGAAGTCGAAGCATTGTAATTTCTTATCTTCTTCTTGGTTGCTATTTTATGGAAAATATTTGTTCCATGATTTCCACTCTATGACATGTTCCAAGACTTCAAGATCCTTCCATGCTTGGTTATCACTGACCTTCACTTGAGGTTGCAATTTATTGCTCCCACAGCCCCTGGGGCAGTTGTGTTTGTGTTGATCCGCATTTGTGCTGGATTGATAAACACGTCATCAAAAGTATTTCTTTTTCTTGACAGATGAACTTTGTTGCAGTGCCTGTATGAAGCTGGAAAAAGTCGTAAGATTCCCATGTTAGACTTGTACTGTGAGGCACTTGATCCGGACTTACACCACTCGAGGGCTTCTGATCCACACTTGGGACTAGAAATAGATGTTCGAATGTCTTCAAGTGACCACCATGTGCATGGGCGATTGCACAATTGTGGTTTTATCCCTCAGGTGATCCGCATGGTCAGGTAGGTAATGTAAATTGCTTTTGGTTACTAATAAAATCTTCTTTAATCATCATCATCTTTCTCACAATCTTCACCCTAGAACAACTAAATTTTTTTTATTTAACCTGGTTTCATGCTATGTACATTTATTTTAACTTTAATCTTCTTTATCGTTTAATCCAAGTAAGGACTTACGGGAACTTCTAAGGCACTCCAAATCCCCCATTCCATTATGATTAACTTGACCTATACTTCCTTTATCTGTCACTATGTTCTCAGGACGAACTATGCATCTTAATTCCTAAGATGGGTTATAGTTCTATATAGTCTTCATAATACTGGCTGTTTCCCAGATGCTTTCTTACCTCTAGATATGATAAGCAATAATAAATGTTTTTAAGGCAACAATTTTCAACTTTCCTTGGTATATGTTTTTAATTTTCCTTGGGTTTGCTCCATTTAACTGTATTTGGAGGCCTAGTTCTTCCATTCAAATGCCTTACAGTTCCCTAATCGAATAACTGGGGTGTGCATGGATCAGGTTTGGGCGGTTTGGGGAGAAAAGTTCAATTGAACCACCCTAGGCAGGTTGAGATTTTTTCCACCCACCACCAAACTGCCTATCCTCTAAACCAACAGGTTCATTGGATCATTTTGTCGGTTTCAAACCAACGCTTTGGGCGGGTTGGGTGTTGCACTTCATAAGTCCATCTAATTAAAATCATATAACAACAAATCATCACAGGGAAACCCTAACCAGACAAATTACACATACTTTGCATATTTGTAAACTACAATTTTCATGAACTTCATAGCTATCTGACTTCTAAGATAGAGAAGGTGGGTGTGGGGGGCGACGGCAGTTAGTAGTGGTGTCAGCAAGGTTGGGCAGATGCAAAAGAGAGAGAGGTCTGAGACAAAGGTGGGTGTGGGGGGCAGTGGTGGTTGGTGGTGGTGTCAGCAACAACAAAAAGGTGGGGGTGGGGCACAGCAGCTGTGTCGGTAGGAGCCTTAGATAGAGATGCTTGAGCAAGGGATGAGTTATGTGAGAGAAAATGACAGAAAGGGGTGGGGGGTTGTCACTCACCTCATTCCTTAGTTGCATGAAGCGGAAGCGGGGGTGGGGGATCGTGGCCACTTAGGGGAGTAGTAGATTAGGAGCGCTTATGTATTATTTTTATTAATTATATCTTATTTATTATAATAGATAAGGAATAATAAATTATGTTAAAACAAATAAAAAATACAAATTAGATGTTTTATTTTATAAATTTTTTAAGATTTTTTTATTATATATGATTTAAATAGATTTCTTTTAAACAATTAGATGATTTATTTTACTTATTATATGTTAAAAAGTTAAGAAATAATAAATTCTGTTAAAAAAATAAAAAAGAAATAACAAATAAAAATTATATTATATATGATAAAATAAATAAATTTTTATTTTAGAAATAAAAATTATATTGTTTATGATAAATTATATTATATAAAACAAATATGAAAACGGAGAGAGAGAGAGAGAGAATAGATCGAGAGAGAGAAGCAAACAGAGACAGAGAGAGAAGCAAACAGAGATCGACAGTGAGAGAAGAGAGGGACGAAGGCAATCAAAGACTAGGGCTTCGAAGAGAGGAACGAAGACTAGGGCTTTGAAGGGGAAGTCAAAGGGCATGAGATCGAAGCCAGCGACCAAGTTCTCTCCTTGCCTTCTCAAGAGTGCTTTCTTCTCACATCATATTCGCGTTTCCCTCTCCTCAAATTCGTGATTCTGTTGCAATTCTTCCTCAAAAGCGCTGAATCACGCTTCTTCCTCAGAGTCGTCACCATCTGAGACGATTCCTGCTACTAGCCTCATTCCATTAGGGATATCAAAGTTTGGATTGTGTGTGGGTAGGAATGGTAGTACCAACCGACCTGCACAAAGTGGTCATATAAGTTATACCCCTCCCCACTCACCCTCTCAAACTGTGCGGGTTGGCTGACGTTTTGCACACCCCTCCCAATGACTGTAGTTACCAAATGGCTTCCACATATAGTTATCTTTTGCGATTTCATTCTTCTTCTTCTTTTTTTTTTTTAATAAAAAAAAATGTTTCATTTTTCTTTATTTCAATTCACAAAAAGGACTTATCTTTCCTGAATGAAGCACTTTGTCTGGTTAATATATTAGTAGCATTTGGTGTCACTTGCTACAGATGGAAAGGTTTCACTTTGTACTAAAGTAGCTGACATTTCTTGGAATAGCCATATCAGTCGGATGAATATCAGATATTAGTATTATTCCACTCTGGCTTGTAGTTGCATGTCTACCACATCTTTCTTATGCTCACATCACAAGTGAAATTTTTTGCAACTATTGTTATTTTTTAAAAGATATCAAACATTTTGCCTACACTGCTCTGTTTGAAGTAAGGAGTTGTTTTTATTTTTGTGTGTCTAGTTTTTAAAGTATGCATGTTGAGGCACACCCACAAATAAGTATTTCTCTAATCTCTTTAAGCCACCTTCTAGACATTTTGTGCTAACATTTTCGCCAGTACACGTAATTTAGGACAACCAAAAATTGAAGCCAAGACACTTAAATTGGGACAGAGGGAGTAGTTACTAGACTATAACTTTAAACCATGTAGAATATTGTTAAAATGTGTTATTACCATATAACTTAAAACCCAAACTTCATGCATATGCTAAGTTGCAAGTTGTTGCTCAAAGTTTGTTTTGACAATCATATCTACAAATTAAATTTGAAATATGTTAGGCCATGATCTTCCATATGTTATTCAACTTTATGAAGCCTTTCCTTTTGTTTAATTATATGAGAAACTTTTAACCTATAAGTAAATTTAGTTCCCTTTGTATGCTGTTATTACAGTACTAAATCATAGTTTAATCAGGGATCTATCGGCAGTGCCCCTATGTCAGTTGCTCAACAGTTGGGAAAAACATACTGAGGGCATAGTTGAGGTATGATTACTGTTCGCTATTTTTTGTTCACAAATCTATATTCTTCTTCTTCTTCTTCTTCTTCTTCTTCTTTTTTTTAAATCTATTCTTAATTTCATGATCAGGGCCTCTCAGTGAACATGAATGTTATTTGCGTAACAATTTTTATCTTAATGCCACCTCTGACATGTGATATTTTGGTGGCAATGATACAAAGAAGTGATAAGAAGCTTTCTTGCTTATCTTGCTATCTACAAACCCATCGTAAGCTCTATTAGCAACTTGTGAAGTGGATACCTGGCTATTATAGAACCAAGTTTGCATTTTCTGCTTTAGCATATTTGTGTATTGGATACTTGGCTGTTACAGAACAAAGTTAGCACTTTCTGCAAACAAAGAGACTTGAGTCCAAGATCTCCCCCAATTTGAGTTCTAATACCATATTACATAGTCTTGGGTAGAACTCAACCCCAAAAGTTAGCTGTTGAGTTGAGGTGCTCTCACACTAATATATTGCATATTACTGTCATACCCAGTCGATGTGGGACTTCAATTCGCACACTCCCTTCACACACAACGTGCTCACTGTGCAGCATTTGTTGTTTGCAGGCCAAGGACATGCACCCTACCCATTCTTCGGTACTTCAACTTTGATACCATATTAGATCATCAATTGTCTCAAAATTTTAAGCTGTTACGAAATAGGCCCAACAATGTATATCACCTTATCAAGCTATTCAACAATATCACCAACCCAAAAGCCCTGAAGCACTCACAGAAGTACAATGGCAACATTACTCCTAAGCTAAGTTCTAAGAAATGGGGATTTTTGTATGTTATATCTGATGATGCTTGCTTTGAGTTGCAAATTTCCTAACATGCTGTTGTTGTAGCGGTTATGTGGTTTTGAGTGTATTGACTGTGCCATGTGTCATGGTCCAATTTTGCCATTGTTTCTTCCACGTCACTTTCACAGTCATCATTGATAATGGAAGGACTGAAAACCTTGTGTCTCAGGAGATGGTTAACAAGTTTAGGTCGGAACTTATCAAGCAAAAAATAGAAGCTTAGGATGGAAACCCAAAAATTGGTAAAACCATATGAGGTGGCTTACTTTTTAACCTATTGATGCTACACTTAAATTTTACGATGTGTAGTTACATGCTAGTGAAGCATATCAAATTGTTGATGAAATTAATTACTGAGTGTTGTTTTTAGAGATTTCATATTATTTCATATTGATATGCTTTAGTAAAAAAGTTTAAAAGAGAGGCTTGGTGCTTGATCATACATGTCAAAATCTAGAAACAATTATGACAACTTAGTTGCCAGAAATAAAAAAAGGAAAATGTACAACTTTAAAAAAAATAAAAAAATAATAATAAAAAAAAAGCATCAGTATTTTGTCTATCCTCAGTGAAGGGAAACTAAGAGAAAGTAGTTTGAAGGATACCAAAATGCATGGAGAGGCCTTATAACTTGACCTTATTGATTCTATTGGATCATCTCATTCAAAAACCAACTTAAATGGAAAAAAGAAACTAACAACTGAGCTACAAATCTTGAGCAGTCCTGTTTCTCCAGGCCCATGCCAAACATTTTAAAATATGTGAGCATGAACCTCCAGGAAGTGCGAACCACCCACTCAGTGTTGAGTTCAGCAGAAGTTCTTGGACCGTGCTTTTTTATATGGTCCGGTACCAAGATTTTATCGAAAGGAGGAATTATAGTGTCTCACCAAGGTTTTAAGTGGACTGGAGGAATGTATTCCCACCAGAAAACTATGACAGAAGTTGTTGAACAAATTACTCCAGAGGAAGGGTCCTATGTTTAAGTAGGAGTTTGTGACAAGTCTAAACAGTTTAGAACTTTTATGCATTAATATTGTTTTTATATTTCTACAATCAACTACTTGGCATTCATCATTTGCATGGTGTTATGAATTTCCGGCTTAATTACTCAAACAGCTTATCTAGGTTGCACCCTAAAAGCTGAAAACATATCTTTTCTATCCTTTTAGTTCCTAATTTTGAAGTCACAGTGATGTGAACATTTATTAGCAGTTTTTAATTAATTTTTTTTTAAGCCTTTTTTTTTTATGTTTTTGGTTTTAGTGATTCAACATTATTTAAGCAGCTGTTGTCTTTTTGTATGCTATTGAATGATTGGGCTTACTGCCAAATTTTTACCTTAAAAAATAAACCAGTTGAGGAGGAGACATAATTGTGATTTTGAATGATGTGTTTGTCTTAGATCCATGTGAAAGTCCGGGAGCTGCAATCTTTGTTGAAATTTGAGGAAGATAGGGGTTTGAAGCAAGATTCGACAGACATATCCAGGTATTTCTCACATTTCATTTTTACTGCAATTATTAGGTGTCGTACAATAATAAATTAATCCACATGAGGCCTAAAATAAAGAATAAAAAGTTTTGGACTCAAATAGGATCTAAAATAGTAAAAAATTACTCTAAAATAGTTTTAAAAAATGACTAAAATAGTAAAGACCAAACCACCACGTTAATCCACATCCACCCATTAACCCGCACGACTCGCTCAATCCGTATTTGCTAATTAAACGGACAGATGCGGATTGATTTTCCCAATCCGCCTAAGTTCAGATGGATGGATGGGAGGCCACCCGACCCAACCTGATCCATGAGCACCCTTACCCAGGACACTATCTGGTTGTTCACCCAGGAATCTTGACAACATGGGAATAGTTCACCAAAGAAAATGTACAATTATTGTACGTTGACCTATTCTCATTCATTGTGTAACTTTTTAATGGAATAGCTATTTTGTTGCTTTAAGAGGTGTTATCTGCACCTAAATAATTTTAGATTCAGAATTAAGGTCATACCCTCCTATGGCCGTCTCTTCTTTTGGTGTCCTGATCTTAATCCTTGTCAATTGTCACTCATAAAATTCCTAAAGTTTGTTATTCTGACTATTACTATTTCTGCTTTGACTTTGAAAACTATATGCAAATTAGCCCATTCGCTATATTTAACTCTCGTAATTCAATATCTGGTCACATGTCATTACTATATGTTATGTGCTTTAAAACTCTTACTTTTGCAACTTGCTTGTTCTGGTCTGCTTATGTGTTTATACTGTATATTTAAAGGAGGTGTTGAAATATTTGGTAGGAATGTAATTGACTTCAGGGTCATTGTGGGTTACACAGCTAGTGGCTTTGTTTAACTTTGATCCTGTGACAGGAGACAGAAAACTCGAAGGTATTTGAATATTGAAAAGGATGCAAAAGCATTGAATGAGAAAGCTGCTGCATTGATTAATTGCATGGTGAAGTATGGGCACCTTTCTCCTATATTCTTATTTTTTTGTTTCTTGTCATTTAACATTTTCATACCCTTGCATTTGTCCAATAACATCATTTTTTGTCTTTCAAATGTATATTATGTTTTAAGATATTGTGTATGTTCTATTTGGATGTATTTATCTTATGCTGCTTCTTTTGCTTTGAATTATATTATGAACACCTAATCCTGAGAAGTCATCTTTTATTAATTCTTCTATAGGGTGTAGATCTGCTTTCACTTGTAAAATCTTAAGAACATTTTATTCAGTTCCTAAAATGTTTTTTGTTTGTTAATGTCACGCGTTATTGAAGAATTATTCATCCTTTTTGCTGGGCAAACTTAGAATTCGTGTCCAGATGAAATATGCAAATGGTTATATAATCGTGTGAGTACTTTTGGGCCCAAATCATCAAAAGTGGTATTATTTTTGCAAATAAAAAATTGATACAACTAAATGAAAGGATTGATATAACTATATATGGTAGCTTTTCTGGAAAAAAAAGTTCTCCTGCGTAAATTCTTTTTCTCTTTTGTTTGATCTCCAAAACTGTGCTTTTTTATTACCTTGAACCCTTGCCAAACCTCGGTACCAATGGAAGCATGTCACCAGCTAAATTTTTAAAGGCTACAAATATATTGCAAAGCAAATGAAAACAGTTATTTGGTGATTGGCATGCACTAAAAAAGTGCACTTTTTTTGCATATATACACTTATTTGGGTTACATCAATCAACATCTATCAACATCTCCTCTCTACTTTTCTACACATTTTTTTTTATAAAAAGTCAAAAAGTGCACATTTTGAACATCCCAAACATCTCCTTACTTGCATTATTACTACTGTTTTAGTTAGTATTATTGTGACTTCTTAATGAAAACAAATTTTTTTGATGTTATTAAAATCTTCTATTTGTGATTTCTGGACCCTTTGGTGCCTTTGTTCTTTAGCCTTCCAGTTTAAGTTGTTAATCTCTTGGGTGCATGAGCTGTAGCTTCAATTATTCTTTGTTGAGAATCATATGAATAAGTAATTGGATGGTTACCTCCCCTTTGCATTTGGATAAGCTTTTCTTGTGTCTAATTTGTTCTTTGGAACTGGAACTGGGCTATTTGTTAACAGTTTTTATACAAAAGAAAATTGCTAGAAGTATTAGAAACAATGAAATTTCTTGCTGTTTTTCAATTGTGATGTCTAATATGTTATAGTAAGGTCTTAAATTTAAAGGAGTGGGTATTTTAAGATTATGGGTGTTGACGTGTAGGTAATATATCCTTACATATTTGCCACACTAGCATGAGCTTTGCTTTGACAAATATGACGATTAGTTGACTCAAAAATTGTTTGAATTTTATTTTGTGTCAACATTAATTAGAGAATTGTGTCAAGATGCGAAGCTACTGCCTTGCAACGTCAATTTCAAGCTATGAAGTTACTGCCTTCCAATGTTAATGATTTCATTGTTATTAATCATTGATTATGTCTATCAAGAAAAAAACTTTAACCATGAGAATCTCTTGGTTGAGAATTTTTATTTTTAAAATTTTTCTTTGTGCTAATATATTGCACTGCTCAAATGCTTTAATCTTGTGATGATTTGATTATGAATCAGGAATTATATGATGCCCATTGAGTCCATACCTTTCCATGAAATCATCTGCTTTAAGAACGTCGACAAACTTCAAGCAGTAAGTATTTTTGTAATACTGAAACTAAGAATAGAAATCAAATGGAAAATGTTCACTGACTACTTATTGTTGTTAAGATAATGCAAAATTTTGGTAACTACACAAATCATTTAAGAAGCTACATATGAGTTGATAGGTTCTATTGATTTCTATATTATATTTTGATATCTGGTCTGAAAAAGCCCCTTAGCTAATGACTGTCACTTTGATTTTTGTGAAGGTCTGGAATGAGACTTTGTTGGAAGTTTGATCTTACCGAATTTGAACACATATTCCTATGTATTTGAGTAAAGTTTTAAATGGTCATTTTCTTTTATGAGAAGCAGAGTTGGGGAAGGTGGAGCTAAAATCTGGCCTTTACTCCCATTAAGTACAGATTTGTTATTTGTCTTCACCTGCTTGAACTTTCAACTGAAGCACTCTTTTATTGTAGGTGCAAACTAACTAGATATGCTGCATTATTAACACAAGCAAGCATTCATGAAGTCTACTTTTCATCACAGGATCATGATGACCAAACTTGGCTAATAGGTTTATGGTGTCCAGCAAACTACTTAAAGCAAATCCACTGCAGTTCAGTTAATTACTGTAGTGGATACTGAGAATCCATGGAAATTACATTGTGGGAGATATTAGCATTGTATTATACCAAACCAAACTAAGCCTTGTGTTTTAATCAAGTTTGGTTGGCTACATGAATCATTTTTCTTCATTCCACTCTATCAATGGCTATTTGCTTAGTTAAATTAAATAAAATCATATATTTTTTTTACTACTACATTCAATATCAATTTAGTTCTTCCCCTCTCCCTGACATTTTCATTTAAAGTGATCATATCACTTTTCCTCACCATTGCATCTACAAGTCTTTGATGTACATGACCATACTATCTTAACTTGTTCTTTTTCAACTTATCTTCAATTGTTGCTATTCAAACCATTTTAGTATAAATAAGAGTTACTGAGAGAGAGAACCCTAAGTAATTCTTAGCACACTGTCATTCTTTCTCTTTTCTTCTATTTTATTTCTTCTTATTCTCTAAATCTAACTTGCTATCAGAGCTCAATCCGCGTTCTTCCTGTTCCTTTGCTCTTTACAGCAGGTCTTATTTTTCTCTTTTTCACCTTCTTTTGGATTCAATAAATATATATATATTCAATATGGTCGACTATGGCTTCTTAGACTATAGAAAAATTTCTGAATTTTTGGTAAATTGAAGACTTATTTTTCCAAATTTTCCTTAATTTTCAAAATTTAGGGTGCTATTTGTTTAAATCTATTGATTGGGGCACTTTCTGGTTACTTGGAAGTTTCGATCTACCTATATGGGGGCCAACTAAGCCTATGGAGGCTTTCCCTTGTTTCAAATTTGTTTTTTTTCAATATGTTTTGGTATTTTTTTGCCAAAGCAATCTCAGGTAAAGCTTTTTCTGCACTATTAGGCAATGGAATAACAAATTCTTTCAATCTCTCACACCTGTCACATGTTTACTCCTCTCTAACATGGAGAGACAAACACAAGTTGCAAGAATACATGTAGAATGGCGTACAAAAACCCAAATAAAATAAAATAAAATAATCGGGGTAAATTTTGAGAGTTGAAACCTAGGCAGACTGAAACTTTTATACCATATTAGATACTCAGTTTTTCCAAAAGGATGATGGTTAAAAATGTCCGGCTCTTGCTAGTTTGTTAATCTATAGAGATTAGTTGTTTTGATTCAAAATGGATTTTTGATTTTATTTTTTTGTTTGTTTTTGAAAATGGGTTGGGAGAGGAAAAGATGAGATTAATTTGGTTTTCTTGTAATTTATATTTAGTTATTTATTTATTTTTAAAGCCTCTACATGAGTAAGTCAATATTTTCAATTTTGGATTCTTTCAATTCCTTTAAAGAATGTTCATGCTATTCCAAGCTTGTTTTTAATTGCTGTAGTCCAAACTCCAATCACATGTTATAAATTCTTAAGCACCATTTTATTTGGCTCTTTATATAACATGTCACTATATTAGGCTTTGATAGGAGACCCGAGAAGAACAATCCAAGTTGATCTTTTGGAGTTCCAAAAATTTCTGAAGTGTAGTTGCTGCAGCAAGAGTGGCAATATTCCATTTCCATCCATGCATGACACCTCAATTATGTAAGTACTTCTGCACGTTTTTTCCTCTAAATGGAAAGTTAGTCGTTGAGTTGAAAAAGATGGGGGAATTTAGGGTTTTGAAAGGTGCACCAAAAGGATAGGGTTTTGCCAATCAAATATATGAATTTTGGGGCTGTTTAAGTGCAAAAATTCAAGAAAAAAAAGAAGAAGAAAATGATAATTATAAGAATTACTCTTAGAGGCCTTAGGCATTACACCTAAGGTTTGATTGCATCTCACAATCCATAATAGAGATTCGTAACCCTTGAAATTCTCTAAAATATCAACTCTATTAAATTAGAAGCATTGCATGGCTTTATATAGACTTTAGAGACTTCCTATTCCAACTAGAACCAACAAAGGGAACTACTAAAAATACTTCCAAAACCAATAAAGACCAAATAAGAAACATAAATAAACCTATAAATTATGTTGCTTGAAAGTCATGCCCTGTCTCATCTGTGTTGCAGGTACATTCTGGCTCAAGAGCATGGTGACCTTATCAATCTCCATGACTGGTATCAATCTTTTAAAACAACTGTTCTGCACCCAAGGATCAAAGGGAAGCACAGGTCAAAGCAGTCACCATCACCAAAGAAGAGAAAGGATGCTAATGAATCTCAAAACAAGAGTGAAGCATTTGTTCAGTATCCTGTTTCTTTTTATTTTAGCTTAGCATTTTTTACTTGTCACCATCAATGTGGTCTATTTGACAGATAATAATGCATTTCAATTAGCATGACATGTGGCAATTGAAGGATTGCAGTCTTTGTGCATAAGCAGTCATTTACTTTTTTGGGGTACATACAGGCAGTCATTTAATTTTTTGCTGCAAACTTCTCAAAGTCTTGCAAGGTTGAGACTGCTAATTATTTTGCACTAGCTATTGACATATAAGTACAGGAGCCCAGAACCCCTTTTTGAAATTTATTGGTTTGGAAGGGGCCATGTTGCTCAACTGTGTGAATGTGCCCAATGGTCCTCTGGAAATCCTTGACCTCATTTTGTATAGAGCACGGTTCTGCAGGGCAGTTACAGAGCTCCAGATTACAGGGCTGCTCCGGATGCCTAGCAAAAGACGTCCTGATTATGTGCAGAGAGTGGCATTTGGTCTGTAGTCTATTGAAGAGGTTTGGTCCAGCTTAGCCATTTTTTTTGCTTGCCCTTCTTATCCTAATGTGATTGCATGCTGATTTATAGAGAGTCACTAATTATTCTCAGGAAACTAAGAAACGATGTTCTTTGCAGACTAGGATGCTTTTATAGCAGTCAGGAAGCACCATGAGTATTTGGATCCTTGTAAATTGTTGGGTACAGTACAGTTGATGGTCGGTGAAAGATTGCATAAGTAATGGCAGCATCATATTGGCTTTCTTGAGAGAGAGAGAGAGAGAGAGAGAGAGAGCATAAATGTAGAAGAAATTGATCACCAAATTCCTTGGATTAGCTATCTATTTTTTTGACAGAACATAGATGGAGCCAAGTAAACAGCACATATGAGAGAAAATCAATTTAGGGTAAACACCTACTTTAAGTCTATCTATTAGATTGCCAGATGCAAAAATTGATTGTTTCTCTTCTATTATGCACGACTCTTTGTTGTATTAGTTTATTTCCTTCCATTTGTTTCTTGTATTGGTTGTTGAGCTTATAAATGCGTTAGTGGAGTATGATTATACAATTTCATGTAATCCTTTTATTTTTATAAATAATCTCTTACAACAAATTTTTATTTTTATATTTTTGTATTAAATGCTTTTAAAAGCATGTTGGATTGGGTCCCCATTCGTTTGAGATAATTGACCAACACTTAGTAAGCAAGTTGGGTCCATATTTATCTTCTAATATGTCAGCAGCTATCATGATAGACAACCTTTTATTATGCTTTTGACACAATCTGTACATGAAATTGGCAGCAGCTACTATCTTGATGGGCTACCTTTTGGGCTTTCCCTTAAACCTCCAATTGACATCTTCCTTTATAAATTCTAAAGAACCTTTTTTTTCGGCTATATCAGTAAGCCTTTTGAGTACTATCTTGATGGGCTACCTGGGGAGCCATTTTTGGAGATTGACATCTGAGTAGAGATCAACTCTAACCACAAAATTTATGCTGCCTTCCTTCTCTTTGGCCATCCAGATCAGGGAAGTAGGAAGAAGAGACTGGGGGGCGGGCGGGGTTGTGGAGGAAGAGGGTGGCCGGTAGTGGACTAAGGGACGGAGGAGGGGATGGCTGATCCACAGTAGTTGTGTGTATAATTGTTTATTGTTTCAGCAATTTAGTCTTGACAATTGTCATTGTCGATAGTGTGCATTTTGTTGTCACTGTAGAAACAAGTAAAATTGAAACAAGACAAATTAGTGTATTGGTAAGAGGATAAATTGTTTACTTTTTTTATTATTTTTGTTTTTTGAGGAAATGACTTTTTTTATTTGAGTGGTTCTATTTGCACACTACCATATCTCTCAGCATACACTATCTCTAAATTTCTTTTATTATATTTGTGTACCTGTTAGCAAAATTTCTGCAAAGTTACAATCGACAGATGATTTGACTAGAAACTTTGCTAACCCAAACAAATTTCAACAAGTGGTTCAAAGAAACAAATGAAGGAAGAGAAATAAGAAATTTAAGAATAATAAAAGATAATTTCATTAATCTTTGTAGCTAACGGTTCCAACATCTGCTCCAACACAAATTTTCATTCTTGTGCATGCATTTTGGTACAAGGGGCACTTGGTGCCATGTGTCTTTTAAATTTTTTTATCTGGTGTAACTTTCGCTAACTTCTAAAAGAACAAGATGCTGTCACACGTCTTGTAATAAAACAAATAAGAATAATAATAATAAATATAGCCACGGTTATTCTTTAAAAATAATTTAATCGAGGTCACAATTGATAAAAAATAATTTATAACCTGAAGAGTTCCTTAAGCAACTTATCATTTTGGACAAAATTCTACAACTTAATCTTTGAGTACACACCCTCTCTAAACACCATCAACTACCGCCATCACTACTAGCCATTATCGTCCATCTTTCGTTGTTCTCTCCTCATCTTTGATAGTCGTCATTAGCCACCATGACCTGTGCTCCCCAACTACCATCCTAGTCCCTATATCCTCCTAACCTCGTTGCCCCACCTCCACTCCCTCGCTACCACCACTATTGCAATCCTACCTCTCACGACCCTCTAGTCCTTTTTTGCCACAGTTCTACTGCCTTTCCCCACTGCAAGAGAGAGAGAGAGAGAGAGAGAGAGAGAGAGAGAGAATTGTGATGCGAAAGGGAGGCGACATGAAGGGTGGCAATGGCCAGTAGTGGCAGAGGTTAGGGTTAGGGCGTACATGTTTGGAAGATAAGGTTATCTTGATATTATTTGAAAATTGATGATGTGAATTGTGAAAAAAAAGAAAAGAAAATTCAAATTGTGTGTAGTGTGCACTAAGCAAGTGGTATGTACTAAGAAAAGTGGTGTACAAATAGAATTTTCACAAACACAATATGTGAATCTCATAGTTTTGCAAGCAAATTTAATTTATTTGCAAGTTTGCACATATTTTCAAGTTTTAAATACCTAGTCATTTATAGTGTCTAAAGCATAAATAAACAAAACCACTTTATCATATCCTTCTTAAATATGTCGTTTAATTTTGTAATTGAGTAATCACATGTAACTGTAAAAATATTAATATAAAAATGATGCTTAATGACTTTCGTTGTATTGGTATTTTTTCATAATAACACAAGAAAAATATATAAAATAAATTAAATAGAAATGATAAAATAATTTTTTTTATTAAAGAAATACATAATAAACGACACAACTAAATACAAAAATAAATTACTAAAAGAACAAATTATTAACATGGATAACCAAAGATTAGAACTCGTTGAGGTAAATTAAATTCTGAAAAATTAAAGAACAAATAATAAGAAAAGAAGCAAACCGAAATAAATTAAATAGAAATGACAAAATAATTTTTTCATTAAACTACGAAATACAGAATAAACGACACAACTAAATAAAGAAATAAATTAGATTACATTACTAAAAGAATAAATTATTAACATGGATAATTAAAGATTAGAACTCGTCGAGGTAAACTAAATTCTAAAAAATTAAAGAACAAATAATAAGAAAAGAAGCAAACTGAAACCTATGTGATACCATAATTTCCTTGAAATAGATTCACCGCCTCTCGATGGGTGTTGAAGGTATGCCACCATCTACCTCTCAGGATACGACGGTTGAAACCAGCAAATGCAGAAGCACTTTCTGAATAACTTCAGCGAACTTGACAATGGTTGCACTCTTTCTAGCAAGAACCAAAGAATGGGCTAGCAAAAGAAGATAGGAAAATTTTCTTTAGTATAAAAAAAAATCTCTAACTTTTCTATCTCAAAACACCATCTCTATTTTCCATCAAAAATCTTTACGAAATTATATTCCCAAGTTGGAGGGGAAAAGCTTCTATTTATACAAGTAGGGGAATTTCTAGCCATGAAGGTTATACATTAATAGGGTCATCAACTCTAGCCATTAGGACTAGAGTTACAAAGGTTGAAAACCTATGGCTACTAATATGATCATCAACTCCGTCATCAAAAGATGAGAGTTACAAATATCTAAACCTCCCATGTGCTTAATAGATACAAATAAATATGTATATAATAATGGTTGAATAAACCAACTAGATGGGTCACAAAATGGATACTAATGCTGGGTCATAACCCAATCCAAGCCCAATTCTCAAACACATGCATAA